CGGCGCCTCCGCCGCCCCCGCCCCTCCCGGCCGGCGACGCCGCCTTCGGCCGCTCCCGGAAACGGCCGGGTCCTCCCTCTCCTCAGCCCCGGACTGGTTCCTCTCAGAGCTTTGTCTCTCTTCCCCCTCCTCTACTTATCAGTCCCGCATGCCGCGGACGCCTCCTGTTATCGCCCCTCAAACCAACATGGCGGCGGCTGCCTGAGTGCGAGTACCGGACCCGAGGAGAGAGAGAGAGACAGAGAGCGCCCCCACCCCGCAGCCGCCGCCCCCACCTTCGCTCCGGGCCTCCCTCCCTCCCCCCGCGGACACAAGTGCGTCACTACGGAGACCACCCTCGAGCATCACGGGAAGTGTAGTCCACGCGGGTGGGGGGAAGGGGCAACGCCGCGCGTCCTCGCCCGACTCCAAAATCACGCCCCCTAGCAACCGTTGCTAGGAAAGGAAACCTCCCTTTCCCCGCTTTAGCTCAGCAGCTGCCCCGGAGTTAGGTGATACCTGCTACTCAGAGTGCTGTGATCGTGCGAATTGTTGGAGGAAAATCATCGTGCGCGGAGAAATTCCCTCACGCACGGTATGCACACAGAGTTTAAAGGATGGTGTGCCTCCAAGCAGAAGCATTCATTTTAACTACAGCACGCGCTCCACATCCTGCAACCTCAAACCATTTTGTAGATTTAACCTAGATCTCCTCTACACTGCATTTTGAAGATCAGAAGCAGTCATTGATTTCCGATAAGGTCACAGAAGTTCAACAGGAACAAGGATCTCATTAAGCAGTAAGAAGGTTTGAACATGTGTTTCGTGGAGACCCAGGGCCATAAAGCTAAGATCGAGTTAATCGAATTTATCAAAAATTGTATTAGATGCAATCGTGTTGTCATGCCAAATCTGTATCAGGAAATATCTACTACAGACTACGTGTGGATTCACCAGTTTACCGGGCAAGCCTCTAAATGCTGTTTAACTCATAATGTAATTGAATTGGGAGGTTAGAGTAGAAGACGCTATCATTATTGAGAAAGGTAAAAAATACGTTTACCCCAGATTTAAGAAGAGAAAACACAAGCCACAAATGTCCACTTGAATCCTTATTCATAGCTCTCTTAGTCTTGGGAATGGCAGTCTAAGTAAAATACCTGTATAAAAACACCAGTGGCTTTAGTGTCTGAAAACCACCTCTACAACCTACAGCTATGTGACCTCATGTGTAAAACAGCCTTGCCTGTCTTCGAGGGCTAAAGTATGGGCAGTTGTGAGGATCCATTCATGCAAGAGAAATAAATCACTTGGTACATAGCAGTGTGTCATCTGATGGGAAATGTTACTACTCATTCTCCCATTCAGCATACTAATGGGGCAAGCATCTGCTAGGCACAGGACCCTAAAAATGAATGATCCAGTCACTGTCCTCAGAGCGCTCATTGTCTGGAGCCTGTGTCATTCCCCGCAGCGATCATTCTGGCCAGGTTTGTCTCATCCAGTGGGAACTCACAGGACATTTGAGTACCGGCTTCTTGATTGGCCTGGCTATAGGAATTCCAAGCACTTCTAGGGGCCTATGTCACCCTGAGAGAGACAGAGCAAATAACCAGGCTCCAGAGGGCAACAGATGAGGCCTGGTCTCACCTACCAGGACTGGGCCTCCGTATGGGTCTAGTTATTTCTGAGTCTGTAGTGACACAATTTTCCACTGCCTTGGTCTCTTACTCCATGTTTAGCAGCTATAGAACCCCCTGCTCTCCTTCAGCCCTCTAGGAAGTTAGGACTGTTGGAAATGCTTTGAGTGATGGATTCAGAAGGAATGTTGGAACACTTTTTTTTTTAAGCAATAGGAATGAAAGCTAGGGGGCTTCTACCATTCAGCTACATCCTCAGCCCTTTTTATTTTGACACAGTCTCATGAAGTTGTCCAGGCTGGCCTTGAACTTGGGCTCTTCCTGCCTCAGCCTCCTGAGTAGCTAGGATTATGGGTATGAACTATCCACCCTGGTAGGAACACATTTTGAAGGTGCTCACTGACAAAATGAATCCCTGCCCTACCCAACCCCAACCTTTTTCCAGTGAATAACTGGCCTTGGCTCTGCTGGGCCTAAGTACTTTTGTCAGTAGGAAGGAAAGAAGCGCAAGAGGGAAGGACTTATCAAAGCACCAACTCCCTCATCCTCTGCTGTTTTCTGTCGGCCCCACGGCCAGGCATGTAATGGCCACCGCTGCCAGCCCAAGGCTTTGTGTTACTGTCACCTGATGCTGTTTACTAGAGGTTACCACCGCCGTCTCTACAAAAGGCCACATCACTTGAAAGCGAAGTCACTGCACCTTGCTGGGCTTCCAATTACTCCCCAAGAGACGCCGAGACATTATTCGTAATAAAACTCATTATAACTCTTCTCTGACGTAGCTAAGTCATGAGGGATCACCGATGAACGCAGTGGAAAACGTTTCTCCTGTCCTCCCTTTGCTCTCCGCTTTCCACCACAGGAGGGTGAGCTGCAAGGAGCCCAGCTGTCCACAGCAGGGAAAAGCAACATCTTCTCCCTACCAGGAGCCTGTTATCAGCATCAGATGGAAGGAAGCGAATGACACAACATTTTCATTTTTTATTATGGGAAAAAAATAACTTCACAAGAAGGCAAAACCTCTCTCCGCCCCAAATTAGTTGTGTGGCATTTGCTGAGACACTTTGTGCTTCCTGAGTCTCAATTTTTTCATCTGAGGAGCTTGAGCTAAATCTCTAAGGTCTCTTCTAAGAGATGATAGCATCAAGTCCTAAAAAACAAGGCATGACATCTTTGGCCTGTTAAAAATATCTTCCTCAGCGGGACGTGGTGGCATATACCTAAAATCCCAGCACTCTGGGAGGCTGAGGCAGGAAGATTGCAAGTTCAAGCCACGCCTGGACAATTTAGCAACTTACAAGACCCTGTCTCAAAATTAAAAATTTTTAAAAGGGCTGGGGATATAGGTCAGTGCAAAGACTCTGGGCTCAATCATGTGTATGAAAGGGCTTTTATAAAGGGGTAAGAATGTAATAAAATTAGATTATGGCTTGCTTGCACAATCATACTTTAGAAATCACTGAATTGTGTACTTTGAACAGGTGATTTTTTTAGATGCACATAACATAAAATGTAGCATCTTAATGTGTTTTGATGTACAGTTCAGTGACATTAACCACATTCCCAATGTTGTGAGACTATGGCCAAGGTCCATCCGTATAACTCTTCTCACCTTGCAAAACTGAAACTTTGTACTCACTAAACAAAGGCTCCTTCCTCCCCGCCACCACCATTTTACTTCCTGTTTCTATCCGTTTTGACCATATTAGGTACCTCATATGGGTGGCGCTGTACAATATTTGTCTTCTTGAAACTGACTTCTTAGCATGATGTCTTCAAAGTTCATCCGCGTTGTAGCACATGTCAAAATGTCCTTCACATTTTTAAGGCTGAGTGATATTCCACTAAATGGATATCCATGGACAGACACTTGAATTGCTTTGCCTTTGAGCTTTTGAGAAATTACATCTCAATAAGAATACTTCAGAAATATCTACCCCCATCTACCATGTAAACACTTTAATCTTAGAATCATTCTTTTTTTTTTTTTTTTTTTGAGACAGGGTCTCGCTATGCAGTTCAGGCTGGCCTTGAGCTCACTTTGTAGCCTAGGCTGGTCTCGAACTTGCAATGATCCTCCTGCCTCAGCCTCCCAAGTGCTGAGATTACAGGCATGTGCCACCATGCCCAGCTAGAATCATTAAGTGTCTTCTAAAGGAAAGTCATGAATTTAAGCTACAGGGAAGCATTACTCTCTATGAAACTGGTAACCTTTTATCAGGTATTGCCTCAGTCAGTTATCTCATTATGCCGTGCACTGTCATTTGCAAAAGATCAGGGAGCAAGAAAATGCCACAAAAGGCAGAGAGAGGCTGCAACAATGCCTGGAGGAGTGGGAACGCTACAAATACACCCTGCCTGCCAAGGACAGCGTTAGGCCTCGAAAATGACTTTGATTTCCAAGGCTTCCTTTTTGTTTTGCCCTGGTCTTGTCTGCAGGTGCCCAGAAGCCCAGACACAGCCTGGAATTCTTTATCAAAGAGCAGCCAGGACCCTCTGTGGTTCGGGGCAGGGGCCCAATGTGAGGATAATCACAATTGGAGCCATACGTAAAGTTCTTTGTTGGTTGTTTCTTCTTTGGTTCCAGCCAGTGTAAGAGTCACTTCAAAGAGTTGCTATGTAAAATTATACTATAATGTAGGCATGGTGGCTCACGTCTGTAATCCCAGCACTATGGAAGGCACAGGCAAGAAGACTGCAAGTTTGAGCCCAGCCTGGGCCATTTAGTGGCTTAGTAAGACCCTGTTTCAAAATAAAAAATAGGAAGAGTCTGGAGACAGTTTATTGCAAAGATCCTGGGTTCCATACCCATCCCATAAAAAAATCAATAAATCATACTATGCCTGTGAAACAAGACAACTGACCCAAATCATACAAGCAGAGGTCCTCTTAGCATTCATAAGCCTTTTTTCATCCTGTTATGAAAATAAATCTCACCAGACAGTTTCCACCTCAAAACTCTGCAGTGGTTCCCATTGCTATCGGTGTAAATGCAAACTGCTCGGCCTGCATCACAAAGCCCTTGGTTACTTGGCTCCAGTCTGTCTCCCGCCACCTGAACCTGAGCCTCTTCCCCTCCCTGGGCCCCTCTGCCTTGAGTCGGAGCCCAGGTGTTTTCCCACTCCCATTTACCTGGCCTTCAGCTGCCTAAACACTACATCCCTCAAGGCTGAGCTGGCCATGTTTTCTATGCACTTTCCAAGTGCCCGACACTTGTTCCACAGAAGGGCTTATCACATGGGATTTGAATTTTCACCTTACCTCTTTGTATCTCTTAGTAGATTGAACAAAGAGAGGAGGGACCTCCTGGGAGGAAGACACTGGGGCTGCACCAAGGACAGGTCAGTGTCTTCCTACAAAGGTACAGTGGAGCATGAAGGGGACAGAGCAACGTCATGTGACTATTCCTTAAACCACTGATCCCATGGCCACAGATCCCCTGTGTGTAGAAATGGCACCGACTGAGGGATTCATAAACCACCAGAACAGTTCTAGTGCCCTGTCTCCTGCTGATGTCCCGTGATATCTTTCTCTCAGACCTCATCCCACTGTCACCCACACTATGGAGTCCTTGAACCATCGAATGCTAGAGCTGGAAGGAAGCTCAGAAGTGATATCATCCGCACCTTTTTCTTTTTTCACAAATGAGGAAATAAAGACTTCTTG